TAGTTTCTGTTTCCTGGTAGTTCAGCGGTTAGACTGCGTGCTTATGACGTTAAAGGTCGGGTTTCGATGCCCGCCGTTGACAGAGCATTGATATAATTTACTACTTGAAGTTTGGTGTTGTACTTTTCTTGTTTGTTTGCTTTAAAAGATGTTTAGTTTCTGTTTCCTGGTAGTTCAGCGGTTAGACTGCGTGCTTATGACGTTAAAGGTCGGGTTTCGATGCCCGCCGTTGACAGAGCATTGATAACTCGTTATGTTTCGCGCTTAACAACAAACAAACAGACAAAAATTTAAGTGACATTTTCGGCAGACATTGGTTCCTTTACTTTTGGGTGATTTTGAATTATATTTACCAAAATAGATTAAACTTTCTTATAGTTTTTTTGTCATCACTGTTAGTTCTACATCCGTGTAATACCATCTAATACTTTCTCAACACTAAAAAAAAAGTGTTACTGATCTGCTCCCTGAGTAGTTTTCACTGTTAGCACAATATCCTAAAAGTTTGTTTGTTTTTGTTGATTAGAACAAAGCCAAACAATGGTCTATGTGTGTGCATATCGCACGTGCAGTTTAATATTTATTTAAACTTTTCCGTTGACTAAAAGTAAGTTACATAAATGCTAAGCCTTACGATATGATCTCATTTTGGTGTGGATCAGAGATTTTTCATCGAATTCTATAGCGTGGAGTAACTTAAACAAAACCAAAACCTATTGCTGTTAATTTGCTCTGTATACTTAGTGAGCATTATAAAATAATACTTTGTACGACTATGTTCTATGCTTTATATATATATATATATATATATATCAATTTCACTTTAATTTAGCGAAAGTACTTCAACGCGAAGAAACTGTATGATCCGAGGGAAGAAGACCCCCCAGAGGAGGCGGAGGAACACAAGGACACTGACTGGGCAGCTATGGAGCTTGATATTCACCCCAACTTTGAGCGGTTTACAGTTAACCGTAGCTACAGCGTGGTGCACGTTCCAACTAACGTTTATGATAAAGGTTTAAATTTTTTTTCTGTGTTTTGATACTTTATTGTTAATTTATAAAACTATTGATGATTTTCATCGGTCTATCTATAGTATTTACCTAGATGTACCTCCGCAGGGTCCCCGAAAGTAAATAAAAACAAGTGTGACACATATTTTTCTTTTTACTTGATGTGTCACAGCCTACAGAATGAATAATTCTTCTCACGATTCATGGCATGCGCACGTTTTACTGACGCCACGACAATACAAATCGTAACGTTAAGCGTCCCTTATGTGACATTATTTTAGTGTCTACTGACTGACTGACCGACCCTGTGAAGTACTTAAGTATTCTTTTGTATACGATGTATGTATCTATCTATTTATTTAACCAAGTGCCAGTCAGTTTTTATCTATATTTGTAATTACACATGACTAAAATTTGTTGTTCTTTTCCTGACAACAACTACGTCTATCTGGCTGATCACGTGATGTTCTAAATTGTTCCATAAACTGTGCCCACTTTTCGTTTTCTAGCACCCGACATCATGAACGCCATCCATTGGTCCGAAAGTCTAACACATAAGTTCAGTGATAATATGGCCAATGACCCCAACCTCTCCTGGCAATATTTTGGCAGTAGGAGCGGCTTCATCCGCCTTTATCCCGGTGAGTTACAATGAACGTGTTATTAGTCTGTATGGGCTTTACATATCCTATTATGGCATAGAAAAATTCCATTTTACAAATCCTGCTGTAGTTGTCCATCGTAAAATCATTGGTTAAAAAGTACCGCGACTGTCTAAGTACATTGTTGTCATAGTAAAAACGATAATTAGAACTTTCTAGACAACACAGTATGAGTTGATGACGTTAGTGAATTAAAATTCCATAATTATCAAGATTACTACTAACAAAATGTCTTTACAAAAATTAAGAAGCAGTCTTTGATTAAAGAAACGTGGTCACGTTAATATCTTTAAGATGTACTTGATGTTCATATTGGATGTTCCAATTATTGATTAATCGACTTTCAGTAAATAATGGTAAGATTTTATTGTTGTTGTTTTTACTTATTTAAATAAAACTGTAATGGGAAAGCGGATTTAAGTTCTAGTTGTTGTTCTTTTAATTACTAGGGTGTTTAATCCTGCAAGCCATTTTAAAAATAAGCACAATCTTATCGAGACATTTTAAACTTCGTGTTTCTTTTATGCGTTCTTAGCAAGTTTATCCTTTATAATGATGTAAATAAGCCTGCCAAAAATGGAGAATTTATTTTATTACATTAGCGACCAAATGGCCCCAGACAGAAGGTCCAGACTTGTACGATTGTAGAATCAGACACTGGTAAGTATTGATTCAACTTCGTACAAAAATACTAGTAAAATAATAAAGTTAACCTTCGTACAAAAATACTAGTAAAATAATAAAGTTAACCTTCGTACAAAAATACTAGTAAAATAATAAAGTTAACCTTCGTACAAAAATACTAGTAAAATAATCAAGTTAACCTTCGTACAAAAATACTAGTAAAATAATAAAGTTAACCTTCGTACAAAAATACTAGTAAAATAATAAAGTTAACGAATCTAAATTTCAACTGGACAGCAACTGCCTGTTGTAGAAACCTACAAATGTAGAAACCTACAACAGGCAGTTGCTGTCCAGTTGAAACTTAGATTCATTATGAATACTCTGCCTGAACAACCTATCAAAGATTAAATAAAGTTAACCTTCTTACAATACAAGTAAAGTAATAATGTTATCCTTCATACAATACAAGTAAAGTAATAACGTTATACTTCGTACAATACTAGTAAAGTAATAAAGTTAACCTTCTTACAATACAAGTAAAGTAATAACGTTATACTTCGTACAATACTATAAAGTAATAAAGTTAACCTTCTTACAATACTAGTAAAGTAATAAAGTTAACCTTCGTACAATACTAGTAAAGTAATAAAGTTAACCTTCTTACAATACAAGTAAAGTAATAAAGTTATCCTTCGTACAATACTAGTAAAGTAATAAAGTTAACCTTCTTACAATACAAGTAAAGTAATAAGTTAACCTTCTTACAATACTAGTAAGGTAATAGCGTTATACTTCATACAATACTAGTAAATTAATAAAGTTAACCAATGCAATAAAGTTTTGACATTAACCTTCGTACAATACAGTAAAGTAATAAAGTTAACCTTCTTACAATACTAGTAAAGTAATAAAGTTAACCTTCTTACAATACTAGTAAGGTAATAACGTTATACTTCATACAATACTAGTAAATTAATAAAGTTAACCAATGCAATAAAGTTTTGACGTTAACCTTCGTACAATACTAGTAAAGTAATAAAGTTAACCTTCTTACAATACTAGTAAAGTAACAAAGTTAACCTTCTTACAATACTAGTAAAGTAATAACGTTATACTTCATACAATACTAGTAAATTAATAAAGTTAACCAATGCAATAAAGTAGTGACGATAACCTTCGTATAATACAGTAAAGTAGTGACGATAACCTTCGTATAATACTTGTAAAGTATTGATTGATGTTAATCCAGCTATCTGCTCATCTCTCTTTGGTTAGTGATGAGGATTGGAATTCTCCGAAACTAGTATAGCCCAAATGACACGCGTTGATCAAAGATTGAACTAGACCTAGACTTCGAGATTAAACAATTTTTTGGTATAATAAATTCATTTATTATATCTACTATTATGAGGCTATGTAGTGTGAAGAACTGAATAGTGGCCAGTGATACTTTTTCTTCACTTCACCTATCCAGTGTATTGGTTTTTCTCATCGTGACTACAAAGTACGTTTTTACATTTATACCTCTCTGGTTTATTAGGTATATTAAAGCGGCAGCTTCTCCTAAAGACTTAGTGATCTTATTGGACACGAGCGGTTCCATGACAGGGTTACGTAAGGATATTGCACGTGGTGTCGTCTACACCATACTGGACACTCTAGAGGACAACGATTTTGTTAACGTGCTAAAGGTACGCAAAAAGTTATTTAATTGTGTTCAAAGTATACAATGTTGACAAAAAAAAATCTTAAAATAGACAAATATAATGTAAATAGTAAACGCTCACATTAATCGAAACTAAGAATGCAGACAGGAAATCCCTGTAGTAAAGTGGTGATACTTTCAAGGAATTTGTTTGTTTGTTTTTTATCCAGTTCGGTAATTCTTTGATAACACTGGTCTACTTTTCCATTAAGTATAAAATTGAGATAATTGACTGTTTTTAACGTAGAACTCCGTTTCTAGTTAAATGATTACTTGTACAGTACCAAACACTAAAGTGGATTGCGTTATCTGAACATCTGTAGCTTGTTATCTAACCTTGTTATGGTTGCTAACTCGAACAATCGATTCTAATCTTGTCTTTTTTAGTTTTCAGAAACAGTGGAGCCAGTCGTACCGTGTTTTAATGGAACTCTGGTTCAAGCTAACAAGCAGAACATTAGAGTAAGTTTGATGATAAAAGTTGTTAATTCAACGCTTAATGAAGCTATAAAAACCACTTTTAACTCTATCGACGTCCTGGACTCTGTTTCGTAATACCAAGAAGAGCTTTTGAATTGTTCTTCATTAAAAGTAAATTACAAAATTTAGGTAATCATAGGTACAATTATTTTAAAACGAGGCAGTTATTAAATTAAAGTTACAAAATATCGGTATGCTCTTAATAAAAAAGTTTAATAAATATGTTTTGATTTTAATAAATTTTATATTGTAGTTTTAATTTTACAACCGTAGATATCGCTTGTGTAACATTCTTGTGTCGGGCCTAAATTAATAAGTTAGGCATTATTGATATCTCACACGAGTATTTTGGCACAATAAATATGTGAGCCGAGTATTGAGAAAAGTGTGTATTAGACTAAACGTTTTGCATTTGACTCTTAAGTTGTTATGAAATACGTTATATATATTTGAATAATGTTTTTCTAGGAGTTTCATGAACATTTAGAGGATCTCGACACTCGTGATATTGCCAATTTTAGCCAGGCTTTGATCTCAGCCTTTGAACTTTTAAAAAAGGTAAGGTATAAATTATATAGCTTTTTAAAACAAAAGTTAATTTTCACGATATTATGTTTAAATTAAAATATTGTCTTACTAAATTATATTTTAGGCTATACAATTTAACCGTTTTATCTTATGAAGCAAGGTTCCCAATGTTTGTTTCTATATAGTGCAACCTCACGAAAAATGGCAGCCAGTGCAACCAAGCCTTGATGTTGGTAACAGATGGCGCCCCCTATACGTTTGACGAAATATTTAACCACTATAACTGGCCAAATATCTCGGTGAGTTTATAATACATGAATTATTTAAATCTAATGTATTTATTTAGAAATATACTGTAATGAAAAGAAAATATCATTGTAATCAGGACCAAAGAAGTCGTTCGACAGAAATGTTTAGCTCTAATTAAATTTTCTTTAACCAGCTATTTTAATCACTTTTATGTTTTTGACATTTTTGTAATATTCCAATGTCCACTAACCAATGAGGCAGCTGCAAGAACTAGAGGTTTTGGATTTACCTAGTAAATTTGTAATTAAATTTAGCTTGACTAGTGTCCACTAGGCCAACAGACAAGAATGCAAGATTTGGCGCACTAGACCAAAAGACAAGAATGCAAGAACTGGAGCATTAGGCCAACAGACAAGAATGCAAGAATTGGAGCACTAGACCAAACGACAATAATGCAAAAACTGGAGCACTAGACCAAAAGACAAGAATACAAGAATTGTAGCACTAGACCAACAGGCAAGAACTGGAGCATTAGGCCAACAGACAAGAATACAAGAATTGGAGCACTAGACCAACAGACAAGTGTGTAAAAACTGGAGGCTCAGGATTTACTTAGCAAAGTTGTAATTAAGTAGAACCAAACAAGGCAGAATAGAGTATTTTCAAGGAAGATAAAATAATGTAAGAAATAAAACGACAATGAGTTTGTTATTGCCTTTTAAATCAACCTTATATGGCGGCAACTGATAAAATCTTGTATAATTAGGCTTCACGAATTCTGAACACACACTAACTTTCTGAAGAATTACATTCAATCCCGAGCTTTGCCAGGATTTTCAGAAGTCCCTCATCATCAAACAAACCTTATTAAAAAAAAAAAAAGAGGATAAATCCAGCTACTCGATCAACTGTTTTTTCTGCAAGTAGACCAGGTACCAGGCTCTAATATTATATCTATGAAATCGGGGAGACAGACCCCAAGGGTAAGGTTAATGTAATTCAAGGATGGGTACATGCTTTTTGTTCAAAACTTGTATTGAAATATAGAAACCAGTAATACAAATTGTAAAAAAGACATATTTATGTTCTACAGTTACCATTACTTGTGTTCATTACATAAAGAAAAAAACTAGAATTTGTAGCTGTGCCCATATCAGGAATCAATAAAATATTATTCAGCCGTAGGCTTAGTGTCCATACTTTTGCTTCATGGAATAACGTACATAAATCATTCAGGAAGAACTTGCAGAAGGCAGAGAAGAATAATCGACTTATGTGTACACTATATTTCTGTCTCTGATCGATATTGTGTAGATTAAATTGAATTAAGTTGAATGTCTTGCTTTCTGTGTTCAACTGAGTGTACATTA